GCTTTTACGGTGGGATGAATCCATTGAAGAACAGAACATACTGGCTTTCTTCTCTATTTTATCTTTTTGCTTAGACTTTCTTACTTAAAAATTATAAGATTAAACATTTGATTCTTCTGAATGTACACCTACTTGCCTACGACTATATAAATATATATAAAATCATCATCTTATCTATTGTTGGATTTATCAGTGTTTTTGGTTTGCATACATCTCTGTCTCTTTTTTCTGTTTCTTGGACTTGTGAGAAAAGTTATTTTGTTCAGTGTAACGTAAAACATTGACATAAGACTGCTCAGTAACTCAGTGTGATACGAATTGAGTTTTGGTTTTCCTAATGGACTATTTAAGTACTGTCATTTCCCGCTAGTTTCCATTGATGAGGTGATGGGTGTTCTAATAACCTTTCATTGTCATGGTGGTGACCTATTTGAAGGCTGTTGAAGTAACCGGTGAAGTGAATTCATGGGCTGAAAAGGAGACAAATGGCCTTATCAAACAGCTTCTACCTACTGGATTTGTTGACCACACAACGAGGCTCATTTTTGCAAATGCCTTGTATTTCAAAGGAACTTGGGGTAAAACGTTTGATCCATCGGAAACAGAAGACCATGACTTTCACCTTCTGAATGGGAGTTCAGTTTGCGTTCCTTTCATGACCAGTATGGAGAAGCAACTTATCGGTGCCTACGATGGTTTCAAAGTTCTAGGGCTTCCTTATAAACAAGGTGGGGACAAGCGCCACTACTCAATGTACTTATTTCTCCCAGATGCAAAAGATGGTTTGCAAGCTCTGGTAGAGAAGTTAGGATCTGGTTCTGGGTTCATTGATAATCACATTCCCCACCAAAAAGTTGAAGTAGGTGACTTTAGGATTCCAAAGTTTAAGATCTCTTTTGGCTTTGAAGCTTCTAAAACTCTGAAGGAATTAGGACTGGTGTTACCCTTTTCAGAAGGAGGTTTGACAGAGATGGTGGACTCCCCAGTGGGGCGGCACCTATATGTTTCGAGAATTTTCCATAAGTCACTCATTGAAGTCAATGAAGAAGGAACAGAAGCTGCAGCTGCTTCTGCCGGCGTGATACGTGTCGGCAGCTGTCCTCGAATTGTTGATAATATAGACTTTGTAGCTGACCACCCGTTCCTATTCCTGATCAGGGAGGACTCGACTGGCATGGTTCTGTTCATCGGGCACATTCTGAATCCATTGCAGGCTGACTGAATCTGTTATGGTGATGCTAATGGTTGAGTTAATAAAATCTAACAAACATACATCTATAGAAAGTGGGAATTTTCTGTACTTTGGTAAATATTCAAAGCCTGGACAATCCTATTCTAGGATATTGTGTCTAAATAATCGTTTGTTGTTATCCTCATGAAGTTCCCTTATCCTTTTTGTTCTGGTTCTTGGATGAAGCTGATATTGGTATTAGACAGGGATATAGGATATAAATGGGGTGATTATAGCTATGTATCTAATATGTGGATGTGAATGGTGCTCGTTGTGGAAATTTTCATTTGCTGCTTCTATTAGACTGGGATGCGAATGAATTTTGAAGTTGTGTGTTTGATTACGATGTACTTTTTTAGACATATTGGATTAAAGAATGAAAATGAGACAAGAAGTGTTTGAGAGAGGTGGGAGAAGAAACCCATCAACGACTAGTGAGGTTAGACTTTGTCTAAACGAATTATTACGAATTTGACAGAAAAATATTTTATGATGATTAATTTTTTTTTTAATTAAAGTAATTATAAATATAATAAAATAAAATATTAGTTGATAATTAATTTTTTTTTAATTAAAATAATAAGAATAGATTAATACTCTGATAAACCTCGTCAATATGCCAAAGAAAAGAAAAGTTAGTGAGGTAGGATATTGTCTTCCCACAATTCTTGCCTTTTTCTCTTTTTACTTTGCTAACTCTCCCTAGTTCTTTATTGGATTTGTAACGTATTTGCTATATATAAGAGATTTAATATATAATATCATTTTAAATATTTTTTTTTTACTTTTAACGTCACATGAAATTTGATGTGTAAAAAAAAAAAAAATGTAATTTTTTATTGTTTTTAATTAAAAAAATTAAGAGAAATAATCATGAATTTTTTGTACATGCAGTTGTACCCATAACAAAAGATGATAGTCACATTTCTACCAACAAGTAGTAAGTGATTTAAGGGTTCTGAAATTTAAGATCTGTTTTGGCTTTGAAATTTCTAAAATTTTAAATGAATTAATAGTAATGTTATCATTTTTTTAAGGGAGGAGCTGGTTTGATAGAGATTGCGAACTTTATAGTACGACGAAAACTACATGTTTTCAACCATGCCATTGAAGTTTATGAAGAAGGAATAACACTTACATCTACTTATTA